ACAATCAATTTTCTAGCTCACCTAAAATTTTCACAACTTACACAATTGTAATCACACAATACACCATCTAAGTGTTGGCCTAGCCCGTGTCAACTTCCTTAAATGCTTGGATTTACCACATCTCCCTAGGCTTTACTATCAATGCCACTCTTCTTGGAATTGATCCCGTCTCTCACCAACCACTATTCTCGGTGTTCTTGTGTATTACAATGTGATCTCACAAATTAAGCACAAGTAAAAATAGTTTGTTCTCTAACAAAGATGAGAACTAAGTTTAAGCTCACTTAATCATAGCCACAACCCAAATTTTACAATATGTGAAAATACTCAAGCTCAATGGTTGTGTGTGAAACAATAAATAAAATAAAACTAAACTTATATAAGTTTAAAAAACTTCTCTAAGAATCAATAGCGATGGAGATGAGAAATTGAAGCTCAAACGGTAAATGAAAAGATCTCCTCCTCTTGCGAAACTTTCTTCACATAAACACTTATAAAAAAACTTAAAACACCCTTAAATACTTGTAAAAATTTGTTTAAAACTTTTCTTAGATGTTATATGAGAGTTGAGGATAGAGGGGTATATATATGTACTTAATACAATAACCCAAAGCCAAAAAAAAACAGAGAAAACCCCCTCAAAATCGGATCTGGGAAAAAATTAGCGGTTATGCAATGACTTTCTAATCAGTCGACTGAACAGTATTTCAGTCGACTGATGCACTGTTCATAGTCGACTGAAAACACTGTTCGGTCGATTGATAACGTGCACGACAGATTCTAAAATTTTTACATAGATGGATTTCTAAAATCAATTAAAAATAGCAAATCAATTTTAAAAATCTTGAAATTTTGAGAAAAGTTTCTACACATATAGATAAACATGTTAGAAAAGAATTTCTAAAATATCACTTTCCATTTATGAGAAATAATTATTTTAATATAGATATTTCATATTCTAAAAACTACTAAAACACTTGATTTTGTAAAATCAATTTGACATAGTAAATCAACTCTAAAAATGATAAATTTTTGGAAAATATTTATAAACATGTAATATAACATGTTAAAAAAATAAATTTTCAAATTGTATTTCCCATTTGTGAAAACTTATTTATTTTGTAAACTGTTTAAAAATCTGAAATCGTCAAACACTTGATTTTTAATGAAATTCTTCCAAACAATTTTTGAAACAATTTTTAATAGATTAATAGACTTAAAAAATAGTGTAAAGAAGTCTTTAATTTATAAACACATTATTTTCTAAATAAAGATGATAAATATGAAACTAGAATGTATGTTTGTAAATGTAACTATTTGTTTCATATTTATTTGATTTAATTTGAAAGCGATGAACCAAAAACGTGTATGTGTGCAATATTTGAGCTTATAATCATAACACACAAAGTATAACTCCTAAACTCATATACCCAAGCTTTAGATCTTCAATTTGCTCGTCTTGGTTTGCGGGGATGAAGCAGTATGAATCTTGACTTGAATTGTGATGTCTTCAATTCAATATTCCTTCCATCTTCCAATGGTTATGATCGTGTAGGCGCAAGTCCATCCAAACTCCAACATCAATATTTGTCTAGAATACCTAATGAGCAAGTACAAATACTAGATAAACGATGTTAGGGATTGTTTGTTAATCATCAAAACTAGATTAGATAAAAGGCTTATAAACATGAGACCTAATAATTTCTCTTAACATATTTTTTACACAAGCCCTTTACATGATCCAGAAAGAAGTGTATCTTAATTACACTTCTCCTCGTATGAAGTTGGACCCTCGATCTCAAGACACCAGGCAGTTTTGTCGGTACCATCGAGATCACAACCGTTATACTAATGATTGCCAAGTCCTCCTAAGAGAAATTGAGGACTTAATATAAAAGGGATTTTTGAAAAGACTTGTCTTTTAGCGGGATATGAGAGAACCTGCTTTAGGAAAATCCAACAGGAGGTCTCGATCCAGGTCACCCCGTCCCAGCATCAGCAAGACAAGAAGCTAGGGGTGGAAGTGAACCAAATAATTAACAAATAGTTTGATAATTGTTCGAATAAATATTCAACCATATTCGATTCGGTAGTTCATTTACTACTAAACAAATATTTTTTAAGTGTTCGAGTTTACTAATGAATAGAATTTAACCAGATGTATATTTGATTTGTTTTTCTATTAAATATCCATTTAAAATTTGATCACAGCTTAATACTTGTATTATTGCACATATGATGTGATATTTTTAACCCACATATCATTTCTACTTAAGTTTTACATACTGATTTTAAGACTTAAATAATCTTAAATCTGTTTTCTAATTAAAGTTTTGATTTAAATATATATACATCATATATTACACATTTCCATTCATTAACTCTCGCCCCCCAAAACCCTCCTCCCTCTCTCTCCCCATTCCGTCGCCTCCTCCCCCTCCTCCCGTCCGTCGAAGACCCCCTCCTCCGCATCCAACGGCGTCTCGTTCGTGACCATCCCAGCTCCGAACCCCGACCCCAGCTCCGGACCCGACCCCAGCAAACAGACCCGACCCCGACCCCGACCCCAGCTCCGGTTCAGATCCCGACCCCAGCGAACACCCCGACGGCAGCGAACACCCCGACCCCAGCTCCGGTTCCGACCCCGACCCCAGCGAACACCCCGACACCAGGTCCGGTTCCGATCCTATCCCAGGTGCGTTTTTTTATTTCTTGCTTGGTTTAGGGCTTTTTGATGTTGAAATTTTGATGTTTTAGGGAAATTTTGAAATATATATGATTTGTTGTTCGTAAAACATGAATTACAATGGTCGATTATAGCACCTATAAATATCTTAATATTGGATGTTCTAAAGAAATGGCTGTTTTAGGGACTTTGATTTTTTTTAAAGAAATGGCAGTTCTAAAGATTTTTAATTGTAAAATAAAGAATAATTGATATTTTACATAGATGAGAAAATTAATTGGTGATTGCATGTAGACCCATGTACTTTTATTATCTTAAACTTATTGTCAATAGTTTCATTGTTACTGATAGACCCCCGGATTAAAATTGAATAACTGGATCTGATTTGTGTGTTATGTCTTGTTACTGTAAAATTGGATTTTTGAATAACTGTTTGTTGTTGATGTTTATTTTTGTAGGTAAAAATTGTTCTTGATGTTTGTTCTTGATGTCTGATCCAATGGAAACTGAAGATGGTTGCTCCCCTGTTGTTAATGAACAAATCTCTCAGTTAGATAACTTAATTGTGCCAATTGTTGATGAACACTTAAAACCAAAACTAGGAATGACTTTTGGCAATTTAGAAGACGCTGAAAATTCTACAAAAATTATGGAAAGGCCGGAGGTTTTGATATCCGTAATAGCACAACAAATTATGGGAAGAATAGAGAGTTAATTTGTAAAAGTTATGTTTGTTCGAAAGAAGGAGTGTTAAAGAGCAAATCGTTGGAAATTCGACGATGTGGTACAATTAGAACTAATTGTAAGGCCTTGATTCGCTTGAAATTAGACAAAAACATTGGCAAATAAAGTGTCTACAAGTTTGTGGAAGAACATAATCATACAATTACTTCGCCGAGTAGAACACATTTTCTAAGGGGAAACCGTGAGGTAACAAGTGCGAAAAAGACATTAATAAAGCAGTTTGGAGAGGTGAACATTCCAACAAACAAGCAAATGGCCTACTTTGAAAACGCTAGCGGAGGTTTTCATAGAGTTGGATGCATTGAGACCGATGTGAGAAATTATGAAAGATATTTGAGAGAGGAGAGGCGCGGTCATGATGCACAAATGATGTTGGATCATTTCAAGTCGGAACAAGAGAAGAATCCTTCATTTTATTATGTTTATGAATGGATGGTATTGCTAGAATGAATTATCAATACTTTGGCGATGTTGTCTCCTTCGATGCCACGCATAACACAAATCAATATGGCTTGGTATTTGTGCCGTTTGTAGGCATAAATCACCATTGGCAAAGTGTTTTTTTAGGATGTGGCTTGATCCCAAACGAAGAGGCGAAGTCTTTCATATGGTTGTTTAACAAATGGATTGAAGCAATGAGTCATCCTCCTTCGGGCATGATTACAGATCAATGTCTTGGCATATGCAAGGCAATTGAAACAGTTTTTCCAGAAATTCAGCACAGGTTTTGTATTTGGCATATCTTGGACGAAGTTCCGGAGAAGTTGGGTAAATGGGCTTATAATATGAAATTTATGAAATCTTTCAAAGAAAATATTTGGGACTCCGAGACTGCTACCTCTTTTGAAGAGAATTGGGTTTCAATTCTTAAGAAAAATGGATTGGAAACGCATGATTGGCTAAAGGATATCTATGAAATTCGTGAAAAATGGGCTCCGATTTATCATAAAAAACACTTTTGGGCCGGAATGTCTAGCAGTCAAAGAAGTGAAGGGATGAATGCATTGCTAAAAATGCATGTATCAAGGACAAAATTCTCTTCATGATTTCGTGACCATCTTTCAGAGGGTCTTGGCGAGACAAAGAGAGGGGGAGCTTAAAGAAGATCATTGCACAGTGGAAAAAAGCCAAAATTGAAGACTTTGTGGTCAATGGAAAAACAAATGACTCAAATCTACACAAAAAAAAAATCTTTTATATTTTTCAAGACGAGCTTCAACCTAGCTTAATGTATAATATTGAGCTAGTAAAAGAAAAAGAAAGAGAAAGTACTTTCCATTTGAATTTTTGTGGTCATGATGAAAGATTGAGACATATTATATATTGCAAAACAACTAAAATAGTCCGTTGTTCGTGTCTCATGTTTGAATTCAAGGGCATTCTATGCCGACATATCTTGGCATATCTTAAAATTACCAATCATAGTGAGTTACCGGAGCAATATATTCTAAGAAGATGGTGCCGAAATGTCAGAAAAAGGGTTGTTCTTAGAGATGGTAATATTATTGGAGATAATGCCACAATTAATTTTGCTTCTCGTTTTAGTGAACTAAATTGCTTAGCTAATGAAATGGTCGAAGAGGGGCTTTCTTCTAATGACGCATATGAATTAATGCGTGAAATGATGATGGATGCTATTAATAAGGTGCAACGTTTGAAACTCATCAATGATGAAGAAATTGGACAAGATGTGGAAGGACATTATATGAATGCGGAGTGTTCTCAAGATGTAGTTCATGAACCAAGTCAAGCAAGAACAAAAGGAAGGCCTAAAGGGAAGAGGTTAAAGCCATCGAGAGAGATCCGCAAATGCAAGCCGAGGAAATGCAAATTGTGTGGAAAGCGAGGACAAAATCATGATAGCAGAAATTGCCCTCTAAAGTTGTCAAGGTAGTGTATCATTTATGAGAGTAATATTAATGCTATTATTTTTTAAACTATTTTAAGTTGGTGCAATGATCTTTTAATATGTTTTGCTATCATCACTTTTTTGTAGTGATTCAATGGAACAAGATAATATTGATAAAGCCACTGATGATTTAGAGGATTCCTTTGAGGAAGGTAATGTGATTTACAAGATAATATTGATGAAGCCATTTTTTAATATAATGTGTTTTTTTAATGTGATGAATGACTTTGTTTTTTAATGTTTTTTAATACAGATGAAGTTCTCACTATTACGTGAAGTTTCATCAAGGTTGGCGTGCAAGTATGAAATCCAATCCTGGAAATACAGCATCCCAAGTCTCTTTTTGTGCTTGCTTTAGAAGTCATATCACATTTGACACACCATTAGCTATGCAAAGGAAATCTTGTTTTATCTTATTAAATGCCTGTCTTTGATGATTCCCTTCAACATGAGCATATAAGTTAAATCCACTCTTGCTACTTGAAAGCACTATTTTATGATTTGTTTCTAATTTTTATAATTTGTTTATTTTAGGTGAAATGTCATACTCTGATTGTAGCTACAGGAGCTACTGCTAAAAGGGTTAGATTACCACGTGAAGATGAATTTTGGAGTAGGGGAATAAGTGCTTGTGCAATATGTGATGGTTCTATAATGTTTCTGCTATCATCAACTTGGTGTAATGTTTTTTGCTAGATGGTTGCTATCATCAACTTGGTGTAATGTTTTTATGAATTTTGGAGTAGGAGTTTCTGCTAGTTCTTGCAGTTCTGATAGTTCTGTAATGTTTCTGCTATCATCAACTTGGTGTAATGTTTTTTGCTAGATGGTTGCTAACATCAACTTGGTATAGCAATTCCTTTGGCTAAATTGGTAGATGTTTTTTGTTCTTCTGTCTTCTTTGAAGTCTGTAGCTTTCCGATTTGCGATAAATCATATGGTGCAGATTTTCATGTTTGTTTTCATTTCATCCATATCATACATTGATAACTAATTCCAGGTGTTGTACAAAATATGCATCATACTGCGATCAATTAGTTCGCAGTATACCCACGTCCCAAAACTCTCCCCTCCTCCAAAGCTTCTCGCGAGCTCCGATACCCAACAAATCCCACCACCATGGCTGCTCCAATGCCCACGTCAACGTCACCATGACCCTGGACTTCAACTCCCTGAGAGGCCTCGTCTCCTCCATCTTCTCCATCCTCTCCCACTCTTCTTGCCCCAACAACCTCCGCTTCCACTTCCTCATCTCCCCCTCCGACGACAACAACAAGTATAGTCTAGAGCTGATATTTTACATGATGCACACACGTATTCACAACATTCAATCAGTTCGCAGAGGTACGAAAATATTTCACCATATAGTTTGCGTCATCAGCTACGAAGAAAACAATATACAACACGTATTCACAGGATCGCAAACAATACTTCCGAGTTTTGAAACAGTTTATCAGTCCAAGATTACAGAAGCATGATATCAAATTTCAACAACATACAACACGTATTCACAGGGTGATTTTATCTTACACCCTACTTAGCACAAATCCAATAAAAATACCAACTACAAATCCAAGAAAAATACCGACTACAAATCCAAGAAAAATACCGAATAAAAGAACAAATACAAAAAGTTTTAACAATTCCATAATATCAATTTCAATCTTTCTCTTTTCCTGAACTTCTCCATTTGACACGGCACTTGAAACTTGCGGGATCACGCTCGACTTCTTCCTCTGAACAAGGCTTGCCTTTGAACCTTCAAACTCCTCTTCATCAGACACCCATTTGAAGAATCCACAATTACTCACTTTCCAATTAGCACATCCCAAAAACAATCGACCAGGGTTCGTCTTAGTTCCAGATCTGGAGAGTATAGCCCTCCTTCCACAATGGTACATCAATGCATGACAAGTGCTTGAAGATGACTCCATGTTAAAAACCTCTACAAAGCAGCAGAATGGAGAATAATAGCGTTTACATTATATTTTACATACAACATAAAAGCTACAAAGAAAATAAAATAAAAACCTAAACTCCTTAAGACTCCAGAGAAATTTTGAACAGGGTTCGTTTTTGCATTTCTGCTTCACACTCCAGAGAAGACCTTGTTAAAGCCTTAGAGGTATAATTAACGCAATTTCCTTTCACTCGATCAATATCATATATTAATAACCAATCAACATTTTTTGTAGCTACTGTTAACATTTTATGATGAAATCAGGTTATCAGCAAAGTTGGTGATCTGACTGGCATCAAGTACCTACCTGCTGCACCTCACAAGACTCGTGCTAAAGAGAACAGGAAGCAGCTTGATTAGAAAATATCAAGTTTAGGATAATGTATCAAATTTGAAGCAAACCAAAGCACTCATGCACTAGAAGTGCATCCTCTTCGGTACATCTCCTTAATATACAAGGGAAAGACTCTTCATTCTAATTTCCCTAATTAAAATTAAAAAGGCATCTTTGAAGCTATAAATCAAAATTTCCCTAAATCTACTCACTTTCACAAACAACAAATCATATATATTTCAAAATTTCCCTAAAACATCAAAATTTCAACATCAAAAAGCCCTAAACCAAGCAAGAAATCAAAAAACGCACCTGGGACAGGATCGGAACCGGACCTGGTGTCGGGGTGTTCGCTGGGGTCGGGGTCGGAACCGGAGCTGGAGTCGGGGTCGGAACCGGAGCTGGGGTCGGGGTGTTCGCTGCCGTCGGGGTGTTCGCTGGGGTCGGGATCTGAACCGGAGCTGGGGTCGGGGTCGGAACCGGAGCTGGGGTCGGGGTGTTCGCTGCCGTCGGGGTGTTCGCTGGGGTCGGGATCTGAACCGGAGCTGGGGTCGGGGTCATGAGGCGGGTCTGTTTGCTGGGCGTACGGGTACTGAAGGCTAGGGGTCGGGTGTCCGGAGCTGGATGGTCATTGAACGAGACGCCAGTTGGATGCGGAGGAGGGGTAATTTCGACAGACGGGTAGGAGGGGAGGAGGCGAGCGGAAGTGGGGAGAGAGAGGGAGGAAGGGATTTGGGGGCAGAGAAGTTCAATGAATGAAATGTGGATACATATGGGAATCAGGGATTTAATAACTGTGAAATAGTGATCTTCTCCGTTGCGCTTCGGCATGCCAACGGCTCAGCAACTTTTCGAACCGGTTAGTGTGGCAATATAATTTTTTCGCATGCCGAATTCGCTCTATATATAATATAATAATAGTATATAGTATATATAATATATATATATATACTATTATTATATCATATATATAGGTATATATATATATATATATATAATATATATATATATCTATGGGTATGCTTATTACTGCAGCATCAAAAATTTATGCCGTAGGTAGTGAGTGTCAAATCCCCCCCACTCATTCAAATATTGTGGGAACAAATTTACATGGGTAGTGGAGAGGATAGAGGAATGTGACACATTCACTAACTAAGCACAAAATTTTGTGGCTTGTACTAAGCATACCCTATTTCACTCACACATTCTAACCATGTTTCGTTGCCACGAACTTTTTGCATAACCCAACAACACACACACATCAACACACACCACACACACATCTATTTGCGGCTGACACACACACACACACAACATATTATATATATATTATATTATATATATATATATATATATATATATATATATATATTATATAATATTATATATATATATATAATAAAGGAATAAATTTTATTTATGAATTCTAATACTATTTGAAAATTAAATTCTTTAAAGGAATAAATATACTTTGATATTTGATAAGTATTCGTGAATATTCATGAATATTTATCAAATAATAAGTATTCAAGTTCGAATTCGAAAAACTAGATATATGAATATTAGGTCCACATTCGAATTCGATAATTTTATACAAATACAAATACGAACACCTTAGTATTCGATTCGATCATTTACCACACCTACAAGAAGCCCACTGAAACCAACAGTGGGGCTATCATCAACAACATCAGCGGCACCGAGAGAAGTCTGCTAGATGATCGATGCATGTCAACTTATGTGAGAAGAAGCCGATGACGCATCTGCCCTTCTCCTTCGGCAACACTAATTTCAAAGGCATCGAGATGCACCACGATGGCCCTCTCATAATCTCGGCCATGATCAATGACTTTCAAGTCAAGAGGATCTTGGTCGACACTGAGAACTCCACTGGTATCTTGTTCATCGATGTCTTCAATCAGATAGGCTTTGATAAGTCTAACTTGTAACCTTGTCGAGGTCCCTTTATCGGATTCACAGGACACTCGATCCTACCATAAGGGATGATCACTCTCTCCCTATTGGTCAGTGACTATCCTCGCCAGTCCACTGTCTACACCTAATTTTTGGTGATGAACATCAAGTCAACCTACAACGTTATTTTTGAAAGAATTTCCCTAAATAGCCTGCAGGTGGTCCCATCCACCTCCTACTAGATAGTGAAGTTCCCGACCCCTAAAGGAGTTAGGATCGTCAGGAGTAACAAGGAGAGGCCAGATCATGTTATTTACTCTCGATGAAAGGAAAAGGAGTACTGGTGTCCTTGCCAATTGAAAAGACGCGTCACCAGATGGAGAAAGTGCTGAAAGGGGAACAGATGACTCCTGTAGAAGAGCTCCAAGAAGTGTCGATCGACCTAGATGGGTTGAACAAGGTCAAGATCGAGTTGAGCCTTGTTGAACTTCAACAATGAACTGTGATCGCAATCCTACGCGAGAATGCAAATGAGTTTGCTTGGGGGCCTGAAGACATGCCGAGAATCCCCTTGAAGTTATGAGCCATAAGCTCTTGGTTGACCGACATAGCAAGCATACTAGATAGAATAAGAGGTATTTCAGCCTAGAGGGGTAGAATGAGCCTGTGGATGAAGTTGACCAACTGCTTAGAGCCGGCTTCATCATAGAAGTGTAGTACGCAGAATGGCTATCCAATGTGGTGCTGATTAAGAAGTCCCTTAGCAAATGGAGGATGTGTGTGGACTTCACTAATTTGAATAAAGCTTGCCCAAAGAACAACTATCCCCTTCTAAGGATCGATCAACTGGTAGATGAGAGTGCGGACCATGAACTAAGTTTTATGGACGCCTTCTTTGGATACAATTAAATCCTAATAGCGGAGCATGATTAAGAGAAGACCTCATTTATTACAGATCAAGGAACCTACTATTACAAATTGATGCCCTATAGTTTGAAGAATGTAGAGGCTACCTATCAGAGGTTAGTCAATAAGTTTTTCAAGCACCAGATCAGCCATAATATGAAAGCATACGTGGATGACATCCTTGTGAAGTCAAAGCGGCCATCATCTAAGATCTTGAAGAGACCTTCTCTGTCCTCCGGCACTACCACATGAAGCTCAACCCGGCCAAATGTGCTTTTAGGGTGTAATCAGGCAAGTTCCTTAGGTTCATGATTACCCAGAGGGGCATTGAGATCAACCGTAAGAAGATAGCCACCATGGAACAACTACTTGTACCCCGCACGCTAAAGGATGTCCATAGGCTGAATAGCAATATAGCGGCATTGGATCGCTTTCCTTCAAAATTTGTTGAGAGAAGTCTCCCATTCTTCAAAATGTTGAGAGGAAGAAAGGAGTTGAAGGAAGGTATGAGTTGGACAGCCGAGTGAAGTGAGGCTTTCAATAACCTCAAAAGATATTTGAGCACCAAGCCATTACTGAGCCGACCAAGAGAAGGAGAGACCTTGTATCTCTACTTGGCCATCTCCCAAGAAGCCATTAGCTCTGTTTTGATC